GTGAGGGTGAAATTTCTATGTGACAATTGATCTCAAACATTGAGTCTGAATGATCATTTGTCTCTCACTGCTGATTCAGAAATCATGTTGGATATAAGTAGTGAGTCAGTCAGTTAGTGATTACTGGTAGTCGGATGGAAGGACTGAGGTAGTCGTATAGAAGGACTTATTTTTTAACTGCCAATATATGACCATGTAACTTGACTGTTGCTGGTTAGGCGAGTTTAGATAACTTATTGACATCTTGTTTGTCTCCCTTGACAGATGATTTGGAAAATTCCTTATAAAACCTTTCTGCAAGGGTTAATTGTTGTACCAAGAACCAAACCATAGCCCATTGTTTATGATATTCTGAACTTTTCAACCTTTACATATATTGTCTACATATATACACTTTACAATCAGTGACAGATTGTAATACAATTAGATTTAATATATTCATAAAAGTATCTTTACAAAATTGATAGACATTCTGATTTATAAACTTTGAATAGCCCGTTAAAATAATCATGGAGAAATTTCTAACATGTATAAGTTATAATACTGTCTTTAACTTGATAAGTCACTCTTTATAATGCGCTATTTTATGCGTAGCTATGTATGTAGCCGTGAACAGTCACAAATTGTTATTAAGCTCTGTCTTAAGACTGAAGCCTGGGCTTTTATGTGTTCCATTATGGCTGAATACGGCTGAAATATATGGTTTCATGTTTAATGGAACCATTGTAGTCACATTTTATTGACAGTTAAGGATGATGGGTAAATTTTACGTTCATTTCTCATGCGATTCCCGAGAGACGCCACAGTAATTTCTGCCGAACGTTTTAGTCCACAGCTGTATCATGCAATATCCGATTTGGTAAATTTTAGAAAATTACTTTACACTCTTGACTACACGTGGGAAATGTTTGCTGTAGTGTTTTTGAACAGTTATTCAGTTTTTCCCAGTTTTGCCTGAGCTCCAAGTGTTAAATTCCCACTTAATAGAGGAAAAGGGAGTATTAAAGTTTTATCAATTAATATTCTCTCTGTTCCTGCGGATGTTAAATTTCTGTCACATGGGGAATCATGTTTATATCACCTTTTGAAAATTATTTGTGTTTATTTGTTTAAGTGCATTCATAGAAGTTTTCTGTTATTTTGTTAGTTCAGTTAAAATTTGACAGCTTCAAATTGCAGCTATAATCTTATAATAAAGTTTGATAAAGTCTAACTTTTTATGAAATCGATTATAAGCATCTTGGATGTTTCATTTAGGATGGAAATGAATGTTATTGTTTATCTATAACCACATTTTCCTTCACTTCTATCAACCTATTAATGATAGATTCTGGTAGTAATTGGTCACAGATTTCCATATCTATTGGTCAGTTTGCCATACCTGTTGGTCACAGTTTGTCATATGTTTTGGTCGGATTCACATACCTATTTAGGTCACAGACTCTTACACTAATTGGTCATGGATTTCTAAACCTATTGGCCACAGTTCCTCATACAGTGATATTGGTCACATATTTTCATACCGATTGGTCACAGTTTGTTATACATATTGGTCAGATTCACATCCCTATTTAGGTCAGACTCTATTAATTATTGGCTACATCTATTGGTCACAGATGCCTATACACATTGGTCACAGACATATTTCCATATCAATTAGTCAAAGATGCCCATATCTATTTGTTACACTTCTTATACCTATTGCTCACAGATTCCCATACCTATTACTCACAGATTCCCATATCTATTGCTTATAGATTCCCATATCTATTGCTTATAGATTCCCATATATATTGTCAACAGATTCCCATATCTAGTGCTCACAAATTCACATATCTTTTGCTCACAGATTCATATATCTATTGCTCACAGATTCCCATATCTAGTGCTCACAGATTCCCATATCTATTGCTCACAAATTCACATATCTATTGCTCATAGATTCCCATATCTATTGCTCACAGATTCCCATATCTATTGCTCACAGATTTCCATATCTGTTGGTCAATTTAGTTTCCCATATCTGTTGCTTGCAGATTCCCATATCTATTGCTCACAAATTCCCGTATCAATTACAGATTCACATATCTATTGGTCAAAGATTCACATATCTATTGTTCAAAGATTCACATATTTATTGCTCATTGATTCACATATCTATTGGTCAAAGATTCACATATCTATTGCTCACAGATTTCCATATCTGTTGGTCAATTTAGTTTCCCATATCTATTGCTCACAAATTCCCATATCAATCACAGATTCACATATCTATTGGTCAAAGATTCACATATCTATTGGTCCAAGATTCACATATTTATTGCTCATTGATTCACATATCTATTGGTCAAAGATTCACATATCTATTGGTCAAAGATTCACATATCTATTGGTCAAAGATTCACATATTTATTGCTCATTGATTCACATATCTATTGGTCAAAGATTCACATATCTATTGGTCAAAGATTCACATATCTATTGGTCAAAGATTCACATATCTATTGGTCAAAGATTAGAATAACTGTAAGTGACAGATTTCCATACAGATTCCTTTATACAAATTCCCCCACATATGTGAACTCATTTTTATCTACAAAATAAAAATGTACTGAATCATAAAAATATGAAAAGAAAAGAGAATATTTAATTACTTGTGATTTTCTTGATGTGATATTGTAACACATAATGTGATATCTTCAAACGTTTACTGTATTACATCGATGTTTGCTGTCAATGGTATTAATTTCAGTGATACCCTCTATGATTGAGCCACGTCTCCTTGAGGAAAATATTTATCTTAAGGTGATTGAATTGACAGGACGATAGTTTGTTTCTTTAGTTATCTCCTATTGAATAGCCGCAGATTTATAGCTCTCAATGATACAAGAGTTGCAATCAAGTTACGATAATTACATGCCATGTCTTATCGGTAAAACACATTTCGGCCCAGCGACCGAACCGGAGAGAAATTAATAGTCAATATACGGTTTTTATGTCTGTCAAATGTAGTCGTAAAACTTACATCAAATTTTCTTTATCTGTCCCGCCAAGTTTTATAATGCTCCCTACTCACTATATTTTCCTTTTATGTACGGAACAATTGCCGACTTTATGTGGGGGTATCTTTTACATCGTTCCAGAATGTAATCAGGTGCTGATTATTGCCGGACTCTTTTGTTGTTTGTTTAATATTACCAGTCAAGTTTTTGAATATGGGAGGTGTGTAGACAATTATAACGGTTTCCGGTTAAATTAATTTGATGTTAAAAATAAAATTTACTTTATTGTTGTAGATATTGCTATTTGGTTAATTTTATTGAATTACAGAAAGATACGTTCTCCTCTGATGTTGTGAATGCTTATTAAATTTAGACTGTTAAAAAGTTGTTTATTGAGTAAGATAATGTAGGTTAAGATCGAAGACTTAAACTGCATGCCGCTGAACTTGGTCTGTAGATTTTGAGAAAATTCTTTCATGCAAGGAAGTTGTCAAGGGTCGAAGGGATACATTAGAAATCATGATATATTGCCTGGGCCGTTTTTTAGCCCATCTGTTTCGAAGAAGAAGTCGAGCTATTATGATTGCTGCGGTTTCGATGTCATTGTTGGATTTGACATTTTTGTATTCAAAACATCCTGAAGTTATCAACATGAAACTTGGAATATTCCATGCTTATTGTGACAAGCAGCAGTTGTATACAATAAGGGGCATAATTCTGAAAGAAATATTGATAGGGTTATGCCCCTTTGTAACAGAATTTTTAACAAATGATCATTAACACTGCATGCAGTGCTCTTTTTTGTCTTGTACAGTTACTAGAAAAAACATATAGTTTTTTCCCAATTAAGAAGCATAAAATTCCCAATTTTTAGTCTGCTCTTTGGTTGTTTATTTTCATCAAAAGGGAAACCCTTAAATTACATATGCAAAAAATTATAAATTCCATGTCTATCAGTTGAAGTTATTCTTTATTCATTATGTTTTCAGTAGTTTCTATTAGTTAGAATTCAACAATTCCCATATTTTTACATTATCAGTTCTGATAATGTTGAAGGCATTCCAAATATGTACTATTTTCCTGAACAGTTAAATATTTTTCAGTTACCATTACCTCATATTTGGTATTGTCGTAATTTATATGATGTTTAATATAAGTATTGAAATTTTCATTATCAGGGAAAGCTGATGTGTTTATTTGATTCACAACTTCGGAATATATTAATTTTACTTTTATAAGTCACATTTAAGTCATGTATTTTACTATTATTAGTCATAGTATGTAGTTAAAAGAAAACGGAAGACAACGTGCTCTTTAAGCAATGCTGTCTTAAATCCAGGGAAGAAGAAAAATGTAAAACTGTACGAGTAATGTAACATTGTAAGTTTGGAGAAATAATGGGAGAATAAAAACTTCTCGGCAACCTGACATTAACTGCCTCTTTATTCCATTTTCCCTCGGCATTATCGAGATCTATTGTGATTATATTCCGGCTCCCGTTAGAGACATCATTATTCATAGACGTATAAACGCAAACAATTCATCTATTCAGCCATGTTTCATTATTGTATGAAAATAGATAGGGATCTCGGGAGGGTTACGTCTGACAAAAACGATATTGATGATAAATTGGTCCCGGTCAAAGCTTAGAACATCGGATATCAGCAGACTACATGAAAGTATATTCATTTTGATTTTCGCGACAGATTAAAAATTGTTTTAATCGTATATTCCAACAGATATTATATGTGTATACTGATGATACTGACAGCTGATATTTGTATAAATTAATTTTTTTTTTTTTTTTACGTCCATAAAGACAAGGAGATATTATTTCCATCAATGCACGCTAAATTAAACTGCTTTGCATTCATGGTCGACTATAATCGTCCGTGTTCAGAATTTTAGGATTTTTGTACCTAATGATTTGTACAAAGTTGTAATTTAAAAATTGAATACAACAACCAGAGGTTTTATATCTTGCTTTTTTATTTGCAGACACAAACCAACCTGTCTAAGTCAAAGAAACATAACAATAGTGCCGCGGACAGCGAGTCCAGCGGCGAGACCACCGATCATTTGGATACCAGTAACCTTATATTAAATGGACCAAAGAAAACCATTTCTCGGCGATTCAGTGATGTAAGTAAAATCTTGTACTATGATGCGTTATTGTTTTATCAGTCCAAAATCAACAAGCCAAAAAATTGCAGAGAAAAAGTTACTCGCATAAATTATATTGTTATCCTGTTGCAGTAATGATACAACTGGTACAACTCATTCTTAATGTGACAGTGTTACCTGTCTAAGCGCAATTTTAGCATAGATTATGTGTAGAACCAAATCATTTTCATGCAATCTGAATAGACTTGATCTTGTTTTCATACCGGTTCTCTAATTTCATTTAAAAATTCCTAAAATTAACCCTTAACCTGCTGAATTTTTGTAATGGACTTGCCAGACTTTTAAATCTTTTAAACAGTCTAAAACTTTACTAGTTACAAAAATTAGCCAGCTAGCAACAGTATCGAGTCTGGACAAACTCCACTGATCACAGTGCTTGCTAATGCCTGGCTATACAATTATATTGATGGCAATGGTCAAGCACTTTCGATGGTTCCAAATTTTAAACTGGACGAGTCTCATAGTCCTTCTTGTTTACATGCGCTTAAACTAAAATCCCCCTATTTTTGGTCAAATCCCTGCTTTTTCAAGCCAAATCCTCCAATTTTGGTGTATAACACAAATTTATAGTTGGAAAAGACTTTACACAAATTTATTGTTAGCTAGACTGGCGGTGTTGCCGTTCGCAAACTTGTTATGTTATAAGATGATCATGTCCAATATGGGTGTCAGAGATTGTGATCATTATGTTAACATGGCCTACTTGTGAACTGATTGTTGTAAGGTGACCAGGGACTGATAGTTTATCAGATATCGGTAAGAGTTTATCAGATATCGGTAAGATATAAAGAATGATTATACTGATATCCCTATCTTCAATGTGTCTAAATTAAAATTGTTTTAAGTGGAAGGGGAATGATGGTGGTTATTTTACATGGAATATGTATGGGATAGGTAATTTGTCTAGTACATTGTATGATAATGATGAATTTATAAGATAACAACCTCATGTTTGTGTTGTTGATGTGATTTTAAATTACCACCATATATATTGAAAGGTCAGTAACTTTTTATATGCCCTTGTATCATTCATTTATGCATTCTCATACCTTTTGTGCCTACAGAAAAGTAGCTCTTGACTCATGTGTGTATCTGATTACTTATCAAGTAATTTGACAACTTGCAGGCCCACCATTTTAGCAAACAAAAATGAGAAAAAGTGATTTTATATATAGTTTGCTGCAAATCAGAAAATTGTAATTGTCATCCAGTCTTCCCTCCAGAGTTTGTCAGAAGGAATACGAAGCCTTCTCACTAGAGGTCTTATTAAAGGCTTACATTAGACTGAGTTACAGACCAAGGTCTGGTGGTGTTGTTGGTATTTTACCCTCGTGTTAAATAACGGCAGTAAGTCACTTTGAAATCACCAGAGCACAGTTCAGCCATTTCATTCATGGGCATGTGCAAGGAACCGAACTGAACCTTCTGTACATGCCAGCAGCATAATTATGTACAGTCGAGACTGCCTTAGCGACCCCCTGATTTTAACGACTCCCTGTCTTATCCGACCTTGTTTCAGTCCTCCCAACGTATTTTCCTATATAAATGGTCTGAATTAAACGACTCCCTGTCATATGTGACAAGCGACCCTAATTATCTGGTCCCAATGCATTGCTTTGTCTGATTTAAACGACTTTCACACCTTTTAATTGTCCGTTAATCAGATAAATAATACCTGTTTTAACACCCAGAGAGACAAAATAATTAAGTCCAATTATAATCCAGTAGTCAGTACTCTTCAAAACAAACTCTACACACCTCTGATTACATGTACATATGCAGGTGTCAAGTGACGTAGCGTCTGGAGTGTCCGTAGCGTCTGATGCAATCGATTTGTGTTAACAAATTGAGGTCACAGGTGTAATGAACTGAGTAAACTGGATTAAAAAATTATGGAGTTCCAACGGATGATTTTTTTTAGGCAGAATATTTTTTTATTTTACCTTTCTTATAATGGCTGCATGGATAATACGGAAAAATGTTGATACCAGACTAATATGGATATGTTTTTAAAAGTATGATATTTATTTATGCATCAAATTCAAGTTAATTTTGTACCATAATGATTCAATATTAAACTAATACAAAAAAAATTTTTTTTATATGATATACATACTATTATATATACAGGGATTCTTATTTTATTTACATAAAATATTTAAAGTACCTATGTGTATTTGCAATTGGTTAGATATTATTCCTTCACACAGTTATACAGTATATATGTTAAGTCACAATGATATATAGACAGATAGATTGTATTTAAATTTAAATTTTCTATGAGACTGTATTAAGAGACTCCCTGTCATATGTGACCTTTTTCTCAAGATCCTTTGGAGAGTCACATATGACAGTCTCGACTGTACATTACAAATGACCCTAGAAAGGATTTTATGATCAGTCAAAACAAAAGTGACCTGCACTGTCTGGGAATTGAACTTAAAATGTCAAAACAATTTCAATGTTAAAAAATGTTTTACAAATAAGGAATACTTAAAGACAATCAACATCATATTTACTATTCGGAACACCTTGCCAATAATCAACAATCATCTCGGAAATGACATAGATTAATAATTTCTACCATGTGACAATTAATGGAAAGAGGGTGTAGTCTGTGTTTAATGAGTAACAAATATAATAATTTATTTGACATCCTTTGTAAAATATAGTCAGTCTTATTTGTGGCATAATCAGTATTAATTTATAAAATATATATTTACCATTTAAAACTGAAAATATATTTAGCATGTCTAAGCCAATTAAAACTTGTCTACATGTACAAAAATTTAGACTCGTAATTAATATTATGGATGAGCCAAGTCTGTAAAAGATGATATGAATATTATAATGTTTCACGTTATTTTAACTTTCATGACCAGACATGCTGAAAATAAAAAGAAAGCAATAAAAAACTTTGACAACATAAAAAACAACAACAAAAAAACATTACAAGAATATGAAAACTCATAAAAACATTTTACCAAAAAATAATAAGATGGAAAGCAAAAATAAAAACACAACAGTATAAAAAACTCCCAACCAGACAGCTCTTCTCAAACTAATGCCATCAGTCATAAAACCACACAGGGACTTTACTGAAGGCCAAGAAAAATACAATTAAGATATGTATCTTTGGGTTAAATAAAAATTATAAAAAAAACTGTATAATAACATAATAATAATTATAGTAAGTCATAAAATTCAAGGATAATTTTTTAAGCCTTTCACTACTAAAACATGCACACACAAAAACGTCAATGATGAAAGAGACATTATTAAAATACAAAGGTAGTTATTGTTGTATGGAGAAATTACCTCAATTTCAAATTAAATATGATTTATTCTACCATTAAGCTTCCTTAATGGTAGCCAGACAAATTTGTCATTTCGTTGACAGATATGATTTAACGGGGTCTTGCCTGGCTGACATTTTCGCTTCAAATTTTCTTATAAACTTAATGTTATTTACATTTTCATAAAATATCAAAATGAACAATGACAAATTAATGTGGAGCTAGCAGTGCATAAATAAACATATAAGTTAATAGGTTCCAATTTATTTGAGATATGCATTGAAATGTTTAGATTGAATTTAACATAATTTATACATAGAAATAAAAACAGGAAAAAAACCAAAAACAACAAAAAGCCCGATTTGTAAAGTGTTACAAGAAGCTTAAAAATAGGTTGGTTGGGTTTTACATGGCATTTTCACTGTAGACGCCATCTGATGACTTTCCAGCTTTACTCACCGTGGAGAAAGACCTCAGGTGACACCCCCACCCCTTGCATTACTTTTTTAGGTGGAAACGGGCACCTGAGTAGAACCACTGACTTTCCATAACCTAGCAGGATAGCTTCTTCACATGAAAAATCAAAAATCTCTTGGGGGTGGGGGGGGGGATTCGAACCTACATCAGTGAGAGGCAAGTGGTTTGAAGTCAACAACCTTAATCACTCGGCCACAGACATTCAATTTACAAATAAGTAAACCACATAATTATGGTTAAGCCCCTAAGCCATTTAACTGCTGAATTAGTGTAATAGCTCTGTCTGGACTGGCTAAGACTCCTTATTTTAAGTATTAAATAAGAAAAATTGAGCTACCAACAGTATAGAGCCTTGTCGAACTTCACAATGGATACTGGCTCCATACTCAGGTGGCAAAGGCTAATCACTTTCATTTCTTGCAGGTTACGGGTTAAAGTCATAATAAAGGTATAATTTATGATATGTTTTTGTTTTTCTATTTTAGGTGAGTACAAGGTCAAGCTCTGGAGCCGGATATTTGGTAAGTATAAAAATCAAAAAAATTATAAACATAAAAAATTAATACATCCTTCTATAACACCGGCCTCCATGACCCGATGGGGAAGTTTATTTTCGGTCTGCCATTAACTTATTTGCTTATGGTTTGATTCCCGCAGAAGAGATTGAATTTTAGGAAAATGGAGAATTTTTTCAATATAGCTTACAGAATGTCCGTTGTTTCTAACCGTGAACTCTTACACGCTTGAAAAAAAACGCTCAAATTTGGCAACACCAAGGCAGGGTTATTCTCTTCTTTGATAAGATGGGAAAAATCGCAATGTTCCCCCGATGCTGTAACCATGTTACTTATAATCAAGTTAATATCATTTTAATCATAGAAGAAATGAATAGTAGATTTTAACTTTTGAAGTATTTGACACAAGAGATCAATACATTTGAAAAGAGTGTGCGGCCATTTTTCCATCAGCAGTGTCAGGATCATTGACGCATCAGCTGTTTTAAATGAAGATGAAACCTGTTTATGTTGCGTCGCCCTTGCTAAACATATCAAATGGAAACATGAATATGGGATAGACTTAATAATATCATTCAATATCACTTACAGGGAATATATTAAAATGGGATATCTATTAAGGCAATTCAGTGTAACAAAATAACATTTTAAAATGTTAATTTACTTGTATTCAAGCCAGTTCGATGTGAATACATCAAAATTTTATTCTGTTTCCTATGGACAAAAATCTTAAGAATTGGCGATGACACCTTTTCAACAGTTTTCACGGGAAATTAGTCTTTTCTTTCCATTTCGTTGGTGGCGTTTTAACGTTTAAACTCGACACATGTTCACTTTCCCTAAATATTCTTCTTGGTCTGTATTTCATTAGCGGGGGTCCCATAATCCTTTATTGACATATGGAGAAAGAACACTGACGATGATTCTGATGAAATATTTAAGGGATTTAATTTTATCATTAAATGTATAGTTAATGAAAGAAGCATGAATTATTCTTTAAAAAATAATCCCAATATATAAGATATATTTTGCACATACAAGAGAAACTTTCATTCATGGGAGAATAAACATGTGCTCTCTTGTTTAACCTGAAAAAGGAAAAAACCCGGATGATTTTGATTAAAATTATCATGTTAAAAGAATAATTGCATGTGAATTTTGATAAAGGGGGTATGAATAACAGAAATAGATGAATCAGCATGAATTTTATGAAGAGCAGATCATGAGAACTGTGGATCAAAATTTCATAATGATATAGGCGCTGTGGAAGATCCGGTGTTCTACTTGGGCCAATATTCAATCTCGGGTATTTGATTGGTCAGAAACCAGTGCAGAATGTGCACTGACCAATGAAAATCTTGATATCTCAGAAAATATATTCATAACCAGGAGGCCTGCTGGTTTCAATAATGCACTGATGCCTGCACCAGGTGCCTTTCTACCAGTAAGACTAGGAATTGGTCACAGTATTGAAGTGACAAGCTCTCCCTCCTCCAAAATGTCCTACAGTGTTGTAGTGACAAAACTTCCCTCCTCCGTGTTGAAGTGACAAGCCCTCCTTCCTCCAACCTGTCCTACAGTGTTGAAGTGACAAGCCCTCCCTCCTCCAACCTGTCCTACAGTGTTGAAATGACAAGCCCTCCCTCCTCCAAACTGTCCTACAGTGTTGAAGTGACAAGCCCTCCATTCTCCAACCTGTCTTACAGTGTTGAAGTGACAAGCCCTCCATTCTCCAACCTGTCTTACAGTGTTGAAGTGACAAGCCCTCACTCCTCCAAACTGTCCTACAGTGTTGAAGTGACAAGCCCTCCATTCTCCAAACTGTCCTACAGTGTTGAAGTGACAAGCCCTCCTTCCTCCAACCTGTCCTACAGTGTTGAAGTGATAAGCCCTCCATTCTCCAACCTGTCATACAGTGTTAAAGTGACAAGTCCTCCTGCCTCCAACCTGTTGTTCATTGTTGTAGTGACAAGACTTCCCTCCTTCAACCTGTCCTACAGTTTTAAAGTGACAAGACTTCCCTCCTCCAACCTGTCTTACAGTGTTAAAGTGACAAGTCCTCCTGCCTCCAACCTGTTCAACATTGTTGTAGTGACAAGACTTCCCTCCTCCAACCTGTCCTACAGTTTTAAAGTGACAAGCCCTCCCGCCCCCAACCTTTCCTACAGTGTTGTAGTGACAAGACTCCCCTCCTCCAACCTGTCCTACAGTGTTAAAGTGATAAGTCCTCCTGCCTCCAACCTGTTCTACATTGTTGAAATGACAAGCCCTCCCTCCTGCAATCTAGCCTACTGTACAGTGATGAAGTGACAAGCCCACTCTCCTCCAAACTGTCCTACAGTGTTGAAATAACAAGCCCTCCATTCTCCAACTTATCCTACAGTGGTGAAGTGACAAGCCCTCCTTCCCTCCAACCTGTCCTACAGTGTTGAAGTGACAAGCCCTCCCTCCTCCAACCTGTCCTACAGTGTTGAAGTGACAAAGCCCTTCTTCCTCCAACCTGTCCTACAGTGTTGAAGTGACAAGCCCTCCCTCCTCCAACCTGTCCTACAGTGTTGAAGTGACAAGCCCTCCTTCCTCCAACCTGTCTACAGTGTTGAAGTGACAAGCCCTCCTTCCTCCAACCTGTCCTACAGTGTTGAAGTGACAAGCCCTCCATTCTATAACCTGTCCTACAGTGTTGAAGTGACAAGCCCTCCTTCCTCCAACCTGTCCTACAGTGTTGAAGTGACAAGCCCTTCTTCCTCCAACCTGTCCTACAGTGTTGAAGTGACAAGCCCTCCATTCTATAACCTGTCCTACAGTGTTGAAGTGACAAGCCCTCCCTCCTCGAACCTGTCCTATAGTGTAAATGACAAGCCCTCATTCAAAACTGTTCTATGTAAAGTAAGGAAGAAATACTCGTTTGATTCTCTTACTTCAGCTTTTTGTTTATTCAGCATTATTGTTTAAAGCTGTTTAATTATATCATCAGAAAATGTGCCTGTCTCTATTGTTTCATACTTTGTTTGACTCGCACTACCAAATTTCATGTGGTCTTTCACTTAGATTCCTTACACTGAGACATTCTGTTCTGTACTTATTTCCTGTAATTTCTCTGTTATAATTGATGTAACAAAAGTTAATGTATTAAAAATATTATTTCCTGTTATGTCTCAATAATTATTTGATGTTTTAAAAATTTCATATCGTAAATGTACCTATTTCCTGTAATTTCTCTGTAAATATATGATGTTTCAAAGAAAGTTATCTTATTTTTTTCAGTGTGATAGTGAAAGTGGTGATGAAAGGGTAAGTCCTATTGACTTCTTCTATATTGCCTTTTATTTTCATGGCTTATAGGTTAGTGAGTAATTCAACTGTGATTGAAAGAAAAAGACAACGAAAGCTGTGAAAAATGTGATACTTTTGGTTACAGGTTCATCAAAGTCAGAATAGGTTACAATGGAATACAATAATAGTTATTGTAGCCAATCAGAAGTGCTGATGTATTGTTGTTAGCCAATCAGAATTCCTGATGTATTTTTATTAGCCAATCAGAAAAGAGATAATGAAGTTAGAACTTGTTTAGCTCTTACATGGGTGAGAAGTGGGGTAATGGGTGGGGGTCGTAGAAAATCATCATATCATCATCTTGTGTCTAGTCCATCACCCAATTAATTAAAGGTGAACAACTCTATATAATAGGTCAAATTTTTAAAGTCTATAACATATTGCCATGGAAAATTGTTTTTTCATATGAATTTCAATAATAGTAAAAAATTGCATCATAGTTCTAAGAAAATGTAATGTTTTTCTAAAGATGGCTGCTCTTTAAATGTAGATCACTGACCATATTTGAGGTGTAGCCTCCATTTTAATACTCTGTACATATTTTTATTTTCCCTAAGACCTTTTTTAAAAGATAAAAACAACTTACTGCAGATTTTATATTTTGGCTAGAACCTCTTGTTCACTAATTTGTAACTGGCGGCAGTAAGTGTTTTGAATTATATTTGATGGATTTATTGCTTCCCATGCTTTTAAATGACAAATGATCTCTCACTACGACACTGATTAAAGCAATTACTCAAAATGAAATTGTTTTCTTTTTTCGTTAACTTCATTTTAAATTGGTGGAAATTAGGAGTTAAATCAGATATGCCTCTGAAGTAATTCATACATGTCAGCCCACTTGACATTAAGTGTTTACATTCAAAATAAGCTTATGTTTACCTGGGGGGTGATCCACATAAACGCATTGAAACCACAAGTGTTTCAGTAATATCATTATCAACATGGATGGGAAATTCTACCTTCAAGTACAGATTTGTTTATAACCTTGTTGCATTGATATGATTTTCATCGCCCATAACTCAAATTACCACAACAATTAAAGCGAGAAGAGTTTAAAGAGTGCAAACCGGATTAGCCGATTTTTCTCCTTTTTTACGGTGAGCTTCGCTGTAATTATTTGGCGTCAAGGTGTTGAAAGGGGCCATTGAAAGTATTTCTGTCACCCATTTTTCGTCTCTTGACACGTTGCCACACAATTAGTGTGTGTGTTTACTCGAGCGTGGCGAAGGACTGCAGATACTTGACAAACGACGGTGGCTATCATATAACCTATTATTTGTATTACTTCTAATTTAGATCGGCCTTTGGTCTTTAGTTGATACTATCGGCAATATTAACTACGCCAGGTTTTATTCAAGTTTTTGTGAAATGCAGTCTTCCGTGCAGATAGCTTTTCATACCCCTTGAAGGCACAAAGAAGTTTAATATCGTGTGACCTCGTATTGGATCGTTTGATCAACTCATGGATAGTGAGAAAACTCGGCACAGTGTTTGTTGTTGTTTTAACACTGCGGAATAACATAAGGAGTATGTCGGAGAAATTTTAACATGTTTACGTATTTTGAAAGGTTTTATGATACATTTTTAATGTGAAATTAATAATAAAAAAAAGACAAAATAAAAAACCCAACAAAGAAACCCTGTGTGTTTTGGATATAATTTTCATGAAGTTTATAAATGTAGTTGGATAGTAAACTTTGCGGTTGTTGGATTAAAGTGATTGTATATAAATAGTGTTCCATTTTCCACGGTGGGAATAAATTTCAATGTAAATTGTGGAGTGATATTTCAAATTTTGAAAAAAATCTAGAGATATTACAGTGTTATTATATGAACATTTGAATGGAAACAAGTGGTGTAATGTAAGTATGACAACTAAGTATAAGTTTTTCAGTTTCGTTTACCACTTGAAAGAAATGTGGTTTTTACTTCTTTATGGATTTTTGCGGTTTCTCAGCCTTTTCCTCGTATATTGCAGCATAATGCATTTTCATGAACGTTTTGTATTTTATAGCTTCAAACATTGTGTTTTTGTTCAAGATAAATTTTTTTCTCGGCTGTTAATGAATGATAAAGGATATTTTGAGAATTTGTGAAGATTTTATTTTTCGTATTTTAAGGTTTAATGTGTTTTAAGGAATTCTCTTCAGGGAATTAAAGATATTCGGTGATCAAGATTCAATAAAAGTGAAATTAAAACAGTATTTAAAAAACAGACTCCTTTTACTTCTAAGTAAGGGCGGTGCATTGAATTTAATAAATGAAAAAATTTTAAATCAAGTGGGACTTTGAATAAATTTTTAAAACATAGATAAAAAGCTACTTTTTAATGTTTAATTTAAGGGATAAATTTTTTTAAAATTTTAGTTTAATATTTCCCTTCAAAATAATTTGATATTTCATTATTTATTCGAAATGCATGTTGTTAAATTAAAAAAGCCTTGATGAGTCATATTTACATTTTCATTTTGTGTATTCAATTTGGCAGCATTTCTGTGAAGGGTTGTAAACATACATTATTATTTTCTGATGGAAAATATCTCTTTATTATGAGATCGGCAATAAAAATATTACACTTGCAGTAAGAATGGGCCGTAAAAATGTTTGTTTTTGGTGTTAAAAGGCATTACTGTTTACTCACTTCTGTATTATTTCATGGGCTTGTGTACATTGTCCTGGTTACTCCTTAATGTCAATACAGAGAAAGTATTGTTTATGTAAAGCTAAGAGAAAATTCTTAATGGTTTAAGGTCAAAATATTTTAGGCATTAAGATATATGTGAAAATTGAATATTTCGATACTAGAATGATGCAAGGCTTTTTATTGATGTCATGTGACATCACCATATTTCAGTTCTTCACTCCGGATCCATGTGACATAACCTTAGTTTAATTCAGGGTGGATTTGTTAGACATGTTTGATCACCATATTTCAGTTATACTTTAGGCGAAATTCATTTTTGTCATAATTAAATTAGTTGTTGCGAATGAAACATTAATATTTTTCAAAACAGAGTGTCTTCCTTCCAAGCCTTTTCAAGCATAGCTCTATGAAATCACTTAAATCGCTTTGGGTTCAAAACCTTACTCTGTCATGTGAGGAAGCTTAATTGCTGAAGATTATTGTATTACCAAGGTTATCTGCCCTTGCCAGATTATAATGATAATAATAAAGTGCAGGATCAGCCAATGAAGCTTTTGAATTAAACTGCCATGTGACTGAAAACACAAGAACGTTACTTCTTTCTGCAGCCATTGAACTTCACTCAAAAGTTCAGGTTTAATAAATATTCGCCTATTCACAGTACAAAATGTTTTAAACTTAAGATATCTACTTGATTTCTGACACACATTTTTCTTGTGGTGTAGAATATATTGTCAAATTCTGCATGTGGTTTACCACTAGGTGGCAGCTCAGCCAGTGGTTGTTAAGGTTTAGGAAGTTGGAAGGCAAATAATAAATTTCCGGGGATTTTTTGTTTTGATGTGTTTCTGTATAAGAACTTGAATAAATGATTCATATCCATGTGAATGATATTCCCCCAATAAGCAAGTTTATTGTAACTTTAATGTAATCTAAGACATTAAGCTGTGTGTAAAACATAGTTACAGAGTTAAGTTGGACTGCATCTAGGTACTTAAGATTGCCACTAGTGTTCTCGTGCTTATCACGTGACTCCCAACTCACCGATTTTTCATGCCATTTTTTCACAAGCACTATATATGTCCAGTTCATGCCAGTTTGGTTTCATAGAATATTATATGCTTTAACACGACATGTTTAATTGTGAAATATGTCAATAAAGTTATTAGGACACGGAGATATACTGAAAAGATAAAAGCTTATACCTGTCAGTGGTAGGAATGATGATTTTAAAAAGTAAAGTTGAACAATAATTTATGCTAAATCATGCTCCTAATGCATTCTGGGTAGTGAATAACTTTAATAAGCTTAACGCATACATGTAAAACAACTTCATAAACCTCTTTATTGACTGAACTGGTACTTAAAAAAATTAGTGTCGCCACTTCATATTTCGCTCACAAAATAATTGCACGCCATTGGTATAAATGCATAATTTAAATATACATAATAGTTAGTTCAAGTGGGTTTTTAAACTGGACTTTGGTTAATCCACTTCAAGGAATTACGAAGCATTAAGCAGGCATGATAGTGTTCCGATTGAGTAACCGATAGTCATAAGTCGCAAGAGGTCACTACTGACCTTTTAAGTCTCGGTAATACTATAATGGGAGAGCTTTAAAGATTTTAAAGTGTTATGAAGTGTCGATGTTAAGAGGATAGATTAAACAGATGTTTTGATCATGCATTAGTTTACACTTCTTGTGACCACAAAATCTGTGTGACCACAGGTATGGTCATCTGACAAAAGGTGTTTATTTGAAAAAAGAACGATACAGAAAACGAGATTATTAAGAGAAGAGTTAGTGCATGGAATGATAATGAATTAACAGCCTATAGCAATAAAGATGTTATCGTTGATGTTATTTTGATGATTATAATACTTTATGAAAGTTATGTGCAAAAGATAATGCAATACAACAAGACATTATGTCCCAGTTAACCTTTCTGAAATGATAACTGAGCCAAATTTAGAACCGCAAGTAAACAATTCTGAAATGATATCTGAAAAAAATTAGGAATCTGAAGTGCACCTTTCTGAAGTGATAACTGAACTTGAAGTAAACCTGTCTAAAATCATAATTAAAACCAAATTTGGAATGATAACTGAACCATTTTTTTCAGAGATCTGAAGGGGTGCATGATGCTATGAAAAGGGTTACCTTATTGGTGCCAATATTATAGATCTTATTAACCATCTGTTATTAGTTTGTTTCCATAATCTTAAAAATGAAGTGTGATTTACGATGGGTACCTACTGATAAGTCAAGAGGTTTTTTTAAGAAATAAAAAAAATCTTGAAGTACTGAAT